TCAATCAATCAATCAATCAATCAATCAATCAATCAATCAATCAATCAATCAATCAATCAATCAATCAAATGTACTTAATCAATCATAACCAGGACAACGCAAACTCCCCAAGGGCCGTCCGGAACTGGACTGAAACAACCAACCACTCCACCTCGACCGATGACTGCTAGAACCTGGGCTGCTACTGTTCCAACCATTTTATCACACGCAGCATTCACCAAGCTATTCAGCCCAGCCCCCGTACTCACATCTGTCAGGCGTGGGCCCCCAGTCATGCTTTCTCCGCTGGAACGGTTTCTATGTTGCATGCATTTGAAACGTCATCTAACCAGAGTCATCCAGAGTGAGGACTCGGCCGACAAGAAGGTTGGTTGTTGTTGATCTTTGTTCTTTGTCGATGTTGTTGTTTTTTTCCCTTTGTAATGCATTTTTTGGGGGGGAGGGGGGATATACAAAGTCACTAACTGAACGAGAGTTCTGTTCGAATATTGCGTTTTATAACATGACAAAAGAAGGAACAAGCTTGGTTAGGTTAAGTGAAGATCGACACAGATTGCATCACGGAACGCAGTGTAGGTTATTTACTCGAGAACTGAAGACTTCCGCGAAGTTACAAATCTAAAGGGGGAACATATTGAGAGCAAAATTATATCTTTGATGAAAGGGCCAGGGGAGAGAATAAAGGGGCTTGCTTTGCATTACCCGAGCTTACAGTTTGACGCTCTGAAATTGGAAAAGCGGCCCCAGCAAAATACCGCTTAGCTAAATGTGATTGAGGCAATGATGGTGGGGATCTCGTATTTTAATCAGGGGATAAACATTGGCGAATGAATATGTAGATGCAGTTTTCTGTTGTGGTTTTCTTTCTTTTGTTTGTTTTCTATGCTCTGCTTCGGACCTGTTGATGTTATCGACTGAACTTTATTCATGTTTTGTTTTCTTGTAGCTCACGTTAGTGGGGAACGAGTTGAGTTGTGTGGTGTTCAAAGCCAACCATCCCACCACAAATCTAAAGTACATTGTTGGTGTAGACTCCTCATACACTGCGCTAAGACTCAGCGTCAAACCTCCACACGGCCAAGGTTTGTTTTAAATACTCATGAGTAACAAAATGTGGCTTACCAACAAAGTTTTTTACTGGTGTTCTAGTGGAGAGCTGTTCGTTCGTTCGTTCGTTCGTTCGTTCGTTCGTTCGTTCGTTCGTTCGTTCGTTCGTTCGTTCGTTCGTTTGCTCGCTAGTTCGTTCGTCCGCTCGTTCGTTCCTTAGATAGGAACTTTATTTATGTGTCAATGCCTTTTAGCCTGGGAAAATTCCATGCTAATCTGGGGACACAAAATAAATAGAGAAAAGAAGAAACAATTAGAAAAAATATTCACAGTTAAACTTCACAGTAGAACCTTCGTTCGCTCGCTCGTTCGCTCGCTCGTTCGTTCGTTCGTTCGTTCGTTCGTTTTGACTCAGCTGCGTCTTATAGAACGGTAGATTTCCCCCAATGTACGTTGACCTTCTACATCTTGCGAAACATTTTACCCTGAACGTGGTTAGCCTTGTCTCAGATTCGCTCAGAAGAAGATAGCATCTGTTCTACCCTGTACTTCTGTGCGTTGTAGTGCCTTGCGACTAGTTTTGCCAAGACTAGTTTTACAGTCTTTCTTATGTTCATAATTCCCATGCTGCTGACTGTGAAATCGTTACACGCTATTTCCGAATTACCTTTAGCCTTTTTCTCAGAGCGAGTCTTTATGTCCATTAGCCTTTCATATGAAAATGAGATTTCATTCACGTGCAAATTATACTCATTTTCATATGAATAGTTGTGCACCAGGCCTCGCTTTGATAGAGAGGCTTAAAGCAACTCGAAAATGTGCTATTGAATTTCACTTATTCTTGCTGCTAAACAAGAAACTTTTCTTCTCTCCCAGAGCCATCTTGGAAAGACGAACTGATTATCCTTGAAAGATTCTTTGAAACAAGGGTATGTTTAAGGATGTGCTTTGATGTTTCCTTCAAGTTTTGTTTGCGTTAATGCTTGAAGGTTACGTTAGAATTCGGATTTCGTTAAGAAGGCTTTACGATTAAGTTCCATTTGTGTTTGTGTTTGCATTGACATTTCGTTTGCGTTTGCTTTTTTTTCTTTGGATTCCGTTTGCGTTTAGAGTTTCACGTGTTGTTGTTGTTTTGTTTTTTTCGCATTTCCTCTTTGCGTTTGGGTTTTGTTCCTGTTTGAGTTTCGTTTTGCATTTAGCTTGGCATTTGTGTTCCGTTTCGGTTTTCATTTTGGTTCTTTGAACTTTGTTTAATTTTTTGTGTACAAATTGAACTAATGTAAGCTTGGGACTGTAGAGTTTCATCTTAACACATTTGTTTGCTGTTGTCTTCTAGGTGGCCTGTGCACCTTACAAGGCAAGCGCCATGTCGGCTTTTGCTCGACTACTTGGTGCGCCTGCCAACATTCTGCGCGACTGTATCAAGATTATGCAGCTGGAATTGGTGAGTCGTTTGTTGGTTCCACTACAAAAACCCAGGTCTGAACAAAGGGGCCGGGTTGTTCGAGATCTGGTTAACGCTAACCGCGCTTTAAAAGTTAACCGAAGTATCAATTTTACTGGTATAAAAATGTTTTTCACTTCTTATTTTTTGTGTTATTTGAGATAATTCAAGCTCAAAACTGAAGGGCAAGCAGTATAAACAGTAAACCTCACCGAGAAGTTACAAAACCGGGATCAAAATTCTCGCTAATCCTGGGTTAGCTTAATCCTGCTTTGAACAACCCGGCCTTCTGGTTGGCTCCCTAACACTGGTATAACGAATTCAGAGTTCAGTGGATTAAACTTATAACTACCAAATTAGGCAACGCTAACAAATGAACAGAAAGCAAAGTTCCTGCTGTACAGTCAGGTGCTTAATTGTATTTCTGCAGAAAAATATCTTCAGTTATTGCCCTGTAATGACTGTGCAATCTTGAAGGGAAAACTCTAGCTCTCCACCCCTGCCATTTATGTTTTACTGCGTTGTATACTGAGATTCTAATTGTTATTTTCTTGGTTCTTCTTTGTTTTATTTTTTGTTTGATTGTTCGTTTGATGCGTTTGTTGTTGTTTTTTAGAATCACGAGGCGACCAAGTTCAAATGGCGTGTCGAATGGTGCCTCACCATACCCCCCAACGGGCCGGAGATCGCCCCTCCTGGAACCCCCGCCGTGGTCCTGAAGGGCAAAATGTTGTTTTTTGTAGGTTGAGTACACTTGACTGGTGTTTTAGATACTCGTGTAATTCTCTTAAACTCGATGCAGTGATCGTTTAAATGCTGAAAACAACGCCTTTGTTACTCAGCTTGTTAATGGCGCCAAAAACGACCACAATGCCAGACAAAGCAAATTTTGAGCGAAATCTGAATTTCGCGGCAAAGTGCCATTGAAGGAGCTCGGCCACGGTATTTTGATTTATTTTCGCCACGTGCAAAATTACCTTTAAATTGAAGAAAATCTGAAGATAATAGTTTACTAAGATAGTAGAAAAGCAAGTAAGAGACAATAGTAAACCATAAAGGAACAAGAATGGAGAAGATTAACACGGATTACAAAGGTCAAACTTGAAAAATTTAGGCTAAACTTTTCAAGAAGCACAAGCAGTGAGGTAACTCCTTTAAAGACAGGTCTCAGTTTTGCTCGTAATCCGCTTGTAGTTTGTTTCTGCTAGAACTGGACCTGTCATGTATTGAAATTGTGTCTAATTTTGGAATTGGTCAATAAGTTACTATTTTTCTTTTTTATTGTATAAAAAGAGTCATTATCTTTTTGATAGAAAGTATCCGACTTTCTCTGTGTGGTGTGGTTTACACAGAGAAGGAGGCGTGCGGGTTCTGTGTGTGACGGCGGCGTTGTTCTTGTAATGGGGAGTTTACGAAACCACGATTTCAACGACAATGGGTACGCCACTGAATAAAAGAATTAATGAGCCATACAATGGTTGTGCACGTGCGTTATAATTCTTGGTGCATTTCTTTGCCGTCCTCTGCAAAGCAACAACGTGAAATGACCAAATTTTGCGTTGTCTGGAGAACGTGAAACTCGACGGCTAAGTTTTTGAATTTTTATTTCAAATTTATCGGTGTCCTAGATTCAGTTTCGTGATAGTTTTGACAGTGAGAAGCAAAGTAAATGACTTTAGAGTACCGCTAGATTCGTAGGTAAAATATAAATTAATTTTTAAATCGAGGTTGTCCTCGGCGTCGACGCCGTCGTGGTTTCGTAAACTCCCTATTCTGGCGGTCCCGGATTCAAGCCCTTCATGTGGTCATTTACTGGATAGGTCTCGGTATTACCGAGTCAAAATCCTTAAACACTCCATGCCAATAACCAGCTTGTCGTACGCTGTCTGTTGCATGAGTTTATTTGAATTATTTTGCGATGGCCCATTATGACTGTTAACTCTTTGGCACGCTAACATTAAATTGGGTTTTAGTAGTTCTAGTTGTTGCTATGAAATTACATAGCCGTTCCTAAGTTACTGTCGTTCGTTTGTGTTTTTTCCAGATCCAACTCAGCAGGCCCATCCCGTCATCCCCCACTGGAGAGGAACAGGTTATAGTAGTTCCCATTCTCCATGACGTGCAGGAGAACACCACACAACAGGCGGAAATGCCGCGCCAGGCTCCCACCGCTGCGGCTCCGTCTGTGAGTTCGCCCCAGCCTCACGCAGCCATCGTCAATGCTACTTTGAGGCGGTGGAGTGAAATGAACTCTAGAACAGGCAAGTGAATTGAACCGTTATTTATTATTTTTTTTTTTTCTACTAACTCTTGTCACCCCCGCAACTGTGTTATTGTAGTCTCTGTATTAAAACGAGTCTTCGTGGAAAACCATTCATATGAAAATGAGTTTCAATGGGCGTTTATTTGCGTGCAAATTAACCTCAGGCAGCGTCCACACTACGCCGGAGAAATTTGAAATCGCAGCTTTCTTTCTACGGTTAGGCCCAACGTCCACACTAATCCGTCACGAAAACGGTTCTTTTCGAAAACGCTCTTCAAACCGGAGGAATTTGAAAACGCAGGCTTTGCGTTTTCGTGTGGAAGGAAAACATTTTGAAAACGGGGCTTTTCAAAAACGATGGCGTCACGATAATGATGTGATTTCCCAGACTGAGTTTTGCTCAAACGCAAATCCAAAGTGACCGGTGATTGTGGCGTTTAAAATTCCTCCGTGGTGAAACCTCCGTGTTCAAATTCCTCCCGCGTGGTGTGGACGGGGCCTCGTTTTGAAACGGAGGTAAAAAGCGACTCGAAAATGTCCTACTACTCTACATCGGGTTGAGCTGAGTTGAGTTAGGTTGAGCTGGGTCGAAGTCTAAGTTGATTTTATTTCTTTGATATTTGCCAGTTATGATGTTTGATATTTCATAGTTGTATATTTGCTGTTTGATATCTGTTTGAATTAATTGGTAAATGACAGTAAATAACTAAAATTTGGTATTTGCATATTTATAAATATTATTAGAAACTCGTCTCGTGTTCAGTCGTGGTGATGCTGAGATATCGTGAGTTTGAGCAAGCAATTCATGACTTACAGCTGATAATTTTCTTTAGAGACTCATCCCGTGACACTCCACCGTCACGTAAAGCTTCTCGGACCATTAAGATTGTATCTGTGAGACTTTTGTGTGACAAGCAAAATACAGGCTGTGATTGTCACGCAGCCTACGAAGGCGGTATTTGATAAAGCGCTTTGCGATAAAATTTCGTGCTGAATAGGGTTTCTTTCTCTTTTTCAGGTGATTGTACAATTTTTCCAGCTGTGTTGGAGCTTGCCCGGAACCTTGATATTCCTCCGTGAACACACTCTGGAATGACAACGATTATTTATCGCTGTATAAAAATGAATTCTGTGTAAGATTTAACTTAACGCAAAGCTGACTAAGTCAGAAGATGTAACAGCATATTTTAAGAAAAGTAAATAAATGGTAGCCTTTTTATGGTCGTATTAATAAGCGACTTCTGTAGTGTAAGTACCCCTCACAGATGCGATGTTACTCCGTTCAGAGATACGCTATCATCATGAGTTTAGCTGTCAGACCCTCTGTCAAACCTGGGATTTCTTTTCTTTTTTTTTTTTCTTTGTTTGTTTTTTTAAAGTTTACACTGCACACATGACATTAAAATTACAGAGTACTTACATAAAAAAGCTTACAATTTACCCCACAGTACTAAAATCGTCCCTACCTAGGGAGCGTGATAGCTGTTGATGGAGGAACAGAACGAGATGTGTTGGTGAGGATTTGCAAAGCCAGAACAGCATTCCTTCTGCTGAGACCTGTGTGGAGATATAAAGAGATATCCCTGAGGACCAAACTTAATACAAATGTAAAATCGGTCTTGATGTACGGAGCCGAAACTTGGAGAGTAACGAAGAAAATCTCAGGAAAAATCCAAGCCTTCACAAATCGCTGCCTACGTAACATCCTTGGGGTAAGATGACCGAACACCATCAGGAACGAAGACCTTCTAGCAAATACCCAGGAAGAGAAGATGAAGACCCAAATCAGAAGAAAGAAGTGGAATTGGATAGGCCACACGCTAAGAAAACCACATAACAACGTAACTAAACAGGCACTCTTTTGGAATCCTCAAGGTAAACGAAACCGTGGTAGGCCGAAAAACAATTGGAGAAGATCAGCCGAACAAGAACTGCGGCAAATAGGCATGCGATGGACCCAAATTGAACGAGAGAGCAGTGGAAGAAAACTGTGGATGACCTATGCTCCACCTAGGAGCCAAGGGTTTGTATAAACTCACAAACATTACTTTCTACAACGACATTACCTACTTACAAAACGTTGCGTAAAATTACTGATTTACCTTACATTACCACACTTACAATACATTATATTACCTCACTTACAATACATTGTTACATTACTCACAACACGCTATATTGCTTAGTTGCACGAATCACTTGCACTAGGTTACAGAACGGCGCAAAACGTGGGATGACTTGGGTGCACGACTGTTTACTGAAACTAATTTCGCCCCGAGTTGTTTGCTTATGCCACTAAGCAAACGGAAGTCAGAGAGTCTAGCTGTTACACATTTAACAAACGTTCAGGGCTATTTTTGTTTGTTGTGAAGCTAAAT